TTTAAGCAAGCTGTGTTGTGCTGGATTCGCACTCAGGGCTTTGAAGTCAGAGGTAAATAACACTGAGATTCTTTCTAAATAAATCCTGCCATCTTTTCTTAAAACTCTGTTGTTCTATACTGCTATGGAACTGTGTCGCATAAAGGCACACTTGAGACAGATGTTATTTAACAAATAACAAAGTTGTTTATTTGAGAGACTTTAACAATACAGGTACTTATGCTTAATGATTGCAGTAATGAGTAAAAGCATATGGTTTCTTCAAAGAACAGTTCAAGGCTTAGTTTCAAAACAGCTCTCCACTCCCTCACAATCTAGCAGACTTCCCTCTGAGTAGACTTCCTTAAACTCCAGACAGTCCTTTCCTTTGGATCTGTCTATTCTCTAGACTAGCTATTCTCCCTAATAGCTATCTATCTATACTAACTGACCAACTCCTGGCTTCAATAACTCTTCTTCTTCAAACACTCCCAAAACCTAACTCTTCAGACTGAGCTGTCAGATTTTAAAACATGCCTACTTCAAGGTTTTTTCTCTCTTCCCTCCAGCTAAGCTCTGCCCACTCTCTCCCAGCCAATTACATAGCTTCCCACATTCCCTCTAGGCTGCTCCTAGGCTCCGCCCCCTCTAGGAACTGGTGCTCTAAGATGGATGCTTCCTTGCACTATCTCTTTAAAATGGCTGCTGAACTTCCTGGGCCTACTCCCTGGGCCTTCCCTGGCCTACAAAGGTAGGGAATTCATCACAGTATACGCTCACATATAAGTCTAGAAAACGGGACCAAAAATCAACCCTCAAAATCTAGGTTGATTTGTTAATTTTGGTGAATGTAAGTTGAAGTGATTTTAGTGATCAGCCAATTTACCTTACCAAAACAGACAATATAAACACAACATACAGTATACATCAAGTCCGAGTAAAATTATAAATATACAAGTACAGATAGAAAAAGTGGGGATGACCAATGTATAACGTACCTTGATCTTAGGTTTATACATCAGATGTCCACATCTCCCTTACACTGTATACCAAATCTGATCAATATACCCTGCTCGCAGGGTGAATGTAAATACTGTAGCTTAATTTAAGTATTATTTTAAGAAAAACCATCTCATTCTCTGAGGCCCATTCTACACTTCCATATAACACCCAGATCATCTGCTTTGAACTGGATTTTATGGCTGTATAGACTCTCCAATTCAAAGCAGATCATGTGGATTATCTGCCTTGACAATCTGGATTATATGGCAGTGTAGAAGGGGGCCCAATCTACACTGCTGTATAAACCAGTTCAAAGCAGATAATCTGGATTTTATATGGCAGAGAAGAAGGGGCCTCAATCAGACACTACTCATAATTTTAAATGTGTTAGAAGAGTCTACTGACACTGATCATGTAATGCAGTTTTAAATGCCATTACTGTATATTTAATTTATTTCAAGCTTAATGTTTTGCGTGTGTTTAAGGCATTGAATAACTGCCAATATGTAAGCTGCCTTGAGTCCCCTTCAGGGTAGAAAAACCAACTTGGAGAATTTAATTAGGACATTGATGGCCACTTGGGCACTTTGTGTAGCCAAGGTCTTTTTGCAGAAAGCTTTCCGCTTGCTGGAATAAATGCGGGTTTATGAAGGACATTTCACTTTCGTTTCATTCATCTAAATGCACTATAACTCTGTTGGCATTTAAAAGAAAAGGAAGAAACACGCAGGCATAAACAGCCCTAAGGGAGGGAGGTCATCTCAATACTTAACTCACGCCCACCTCAGTCCCATTGCTAGTTTAACCCTTAGGTTAACTGGAAGGAAAGGCCATTCCTTTGCATGCTTTCTTGCAGGCTGTTGTTGGTGTGCCTTTCCGTCTTATGGCAATCTATTAAATCTCTTTTATTGTCTACCAACATTACATTTTCCTGGGTTGTTGTAGGTTTTTTCGGGCTATATGGCCATGTTCTAGAGGCATTCTCTCCTGACGTTTCGCCTGCATCTATGGCAAGCATCCTCAGAGGTAGTGAGGTCTGTTGGAACTAGAAAAGTGGGTTTATATATCTGTGGAATGACTAGGGTGAGACAAAGGACTTTTGTCTGCTGGAGCTAGGTTTGAATGTTTCAACTGACCACCTTGATTAGCATTTGATGGCCTGGCAGTTACGTTTTCCATTCTTGAATTCGGAGTAGAGAAACTGCTTTGGGAGACGGTGGTCAGGCATCTGGGCAATGTGGCCAGTCCAGCAGAGTTGACATTTGTCCGCCTGTCTTCCCAAGCCAACCTTAAAAACTCTGGCATAGACAATGAGAACTGGGAAGCCCTAGCCCTTGAGCACTCCAGCTGGAGGTCAGCTGTGACCTGCAGTGATATAGAATTTAAAGAGGCATGAATGGAGGGTGAGAGAAATGTGCCGACCGAGACTGCTTTCCACCTGAAAACTGATGCCCTCGCTGCGGGAGAAGATGCGGGTCAAGACTTGGGCTCTACAGTCACCTACGTATCCACCGCCAGTACACCGATCTTGGAAGACAATCCTACTCAGACAAGGAGGGATCGCCTAAGTAAGCATGGCAATCTTATTCACAAGGTTTCCTAGGTAAGATTTGTTCAGAGTGGGTTTCCCTTTGCCTTCCACTGATGCTGAGGGCCCTTCCAGACAGGCCTTGTATTCAAGGTTCTGATCCCATGTTTTCTGCTTTGAACTGGATTATATGAGTCTGCACTGCCAAATAACCTGGGATCAGATCCTGGGTTATTGGCCTGTCTGGAAGGGCCCGTAGATAGGGCGCCATTTCCATGGCAGGCTCTCTCTAGGGCCCTTTCCACACAGACATATAAATTCCACATGAAGTGTGGACTCTTCCACACAGCCATATAAACCAGAATATCAAGACAGATAACCCACAATATCTGCTTTGAACTGAGGACCCTTCCACACAGCTCCATATCTCAGAATATTAAGGCAGAAAATCCCACATATTCTGAGTGTGGACTCTGGGCCCTTCCACACAGCTCCATACCCCAGAATATCAAGTCAGAAAATCCCACAATATCTGCTTTGAACTGCGTTATCTGACTCCACACTCAGATAATGTGGGATTTTCTGCCTTGATATCCTGGGATATAGGGCTGTGCAGAAGGGTCCTGGATTATATGACACTGGACTAAGAATACCCAGTTCGAAGCAGACATTGTGGGATTTTCTGACTTTATATTCTGGGTTATATGGCTGTGTGGAAGGACCCTGGGTTATCTGAGTCCACACTGCCATATAACCCACTTCAAAGCGGACTATGTGTGATTTTATACAGCTGTGTGGAAAGTACCTCAAATAATCCAGTTCAAAGCAGATTGTGGGATTTTCTACTTTGATATTCTGGTTTATATGGCTGTGAAGGAAGGCCCTTCCACATAGCCATAGAACTTAGAATATCAAAGCAGAAAATCCCACAATCTCTGCTTTGAACAGGGTTATCTGAGTCCATAGTGTCATATAATCCAGTTCAATGTGGATTTTATAAAGCATTGCATATCTCAGGGCCCTTCCACACAGCCATTGTTGTTGTTGTTCATTCGTTCAGTCGTCTCCGACTCTTCGTGACCTCATGGACCAGCCCACGCCAGAGCTCTCTGTCGGCCGTCACCACCCCCAGCTCCTTCAAGTTCAGTCATATAACCCCAGAATATAAAGGCAGAAAAATCCCACAATATCTGCCTTGAATTGGGTTATCTGAGGCCCTTTCCACGCACATGCATAAAATCTCAGTTTATCTGCTTTGAACTGGAATATATGGCAGTGTGGACTCAGATATCCCAATTTGAAGTAGATATTGTGGGATTTTCTGCCTTGATATTCTGGGATATAGGGCTGTGTAGAGAGGCCCCGAGTCCATACTGCCATATATTCTAGTTCAAAACAGAAAGTGTGGGATTTTCTGCCTTGATATTCTAGGTTATATGACTGTGTGGAAATTCCACACTGCCATATATTTCAGTTCAAAGCAGATACTGTGGGATTTTCTGCTTTGATATTCTAGATCAGTGTTTCTCAACCTGGGGGTCGGGACCCCTGGGAGAGTCATGAGGGGGTGTCAGAGGGGTCGCCAAAGACCATCAGAAAACACAGTATTTTCTGTTGGTAATGGGGGTTCTGTGTGGGAAGTTTGGCCCAATTTTATTGTTGGTTGGGTTCAAGATGCTCTTTGACTCTAGGTGAACTATACATCCCAGCAACCATAACTCCCAGATGGTAGGGTCTATTTCCCCCAAACTCCACCAGTGTTCACATTTGGGCATATTGAGCATTCGTGCCAAGTCAGGTCCAGATCTATCATTGTTTGAGTCCACAGTGCTCTCTCGATGTAGGTGAACTACAACTCCAAAACTCAAAATGCTCCTGGATTGTAGGTGAACTATAAATCCCAGCAACTACAGCTCCCAAATGGCAACATCAACCTCCCCCAACCCCACCAATATTCAAATTTGGGTGCATCAGGTATTTGTGCCAAATTTAGTCCAGTGAATGAAAATACATCTAGCAAATCAGATATTTGCATTACGATTCGTAACAGTAGCAAAATTACAGTTCTGGAGTGGCAACAAAAATAATGTTTTGGTTAGGGGTCACCACAACATGAGGAACTCTATTAAGGGGTCGGGACATGAAGAAGGTTGAGAACCACTGTTCTAGATTATATGGCTGTGTGGAAAGGCCCCGACTCCACACTGCCATATATTCCAGTTCAAAGCAGAAAGTGTGGGATTTTATTCAGCTGTGTAGAAAGGAATGGGGAGGGGGCACTAGGACCCTGCACGAAGCTGGCCAACAGCGGGGCTCTCAGAACTTGGGGCGTATTCTGAGATGCCAGGCTCCATCCTTCGTTCCGATTGGCTAGCGCGGAACGTTCTGCTTTGATCCGCCCTCCCTCCTTTGGTTCAGTAGAGTTTGCGCCGAGAAAGGGAGGGGGGAGCCAAACGGCCGCATTCGTGACCTGCGCAGTAGAGCCTCTCCTCATCCCCCCCCCCCGCCTTCAACAGACAGCTCCCTCTTTCTCCCCCCACCCCGTCCTTTGCGCGGCACGCGGGGCCTTCACGCGCTCCCCTCAGCGGCCGCGAGAGCGAAGAGGAGGAGAAGGAGGAGCGCGCGCTGCCTCCGCCGCCGCCATTATTCCCTCTCGCTTTCCGCTCCAGCCAGCGCCATGAGCGGCGGCGCCTCTTGACGGCGGCGCAACTGGGCCCGCCCCTTCCCTTCCTTTCCCTTCATCCCGAGGATGCTGAAGATGAAGCTGCCGGGGAACCCTAAGGAAGAGGGGGAGGGAGAGGAGGCAGCGGCGGCGGCGGCGGTTGGAGGCGACGGAGGAGGAGGAGGAGGCCTGAGGTGCCTGTGTGGCTGTCCCGGCAGGGAGGGCCGCGAGGCTGTCTACGAGTGGTTCGGCCTCTCGCTGGGCCTGGCGCAGCGGCTGGAGTTCGCCGTGGGGCTGCTGGACCTGCTCAACCCGCTGGAGCTGCGCTTCCTAGGCTCCTGCCTCGAGGAGCTGGCCCGCAAGGACTACCACTGCCTGAGGGACTCCGAGGCCAAGGCCAACGGGGCGGAGGCGGCGGGCAGCGCGGGGACCGGCCCGGCGCAGCCGCCACAGCCTTCCTCTCCGCCCGCCGCTTCCTCCCCGCCGCCGCCTCCCCCTCCCCCGCCGCCCCCTCCTCCTCCCGGCGGCAGCGACTTCCGCGACCCCGCCACGCGCTCCCGCCTCATCGTCTACTTGGCGCTGCTGGGCTCCGAGAACCGCGAGGCGGCGGGGCGCCTCCACCGGCTCCTCCCGCCAGTGGACGCCATCCTCCGCAGCTGCCGCCGCCCCACGCCATTGGGGCCTCTGCCGGCCCAGGATGAAGCCGAGGGCCAGGAGGAGGAGGAAGGGGCCGGGGCGAGGCCTGGGCCCGCGCAAGAGAGCCTGGGCCCGGCGGCCTGCGAGGAGCTGCTCCTGCTCTTCACCATGGCTTCCCTCCACCCCGCCTTTTCCTTCCACCAGAGAGTCACCCTCAGGGAACACTTGGAGCGGCTCAGGAGGGCCCTCTGCCGGGATGACGCCGAGGGGCGGGACGACGGATTCGCCTGCCACGCCGGGAGCCCGGTAAGGAAAGACCCAGTCAGCCGTCCATCCACTCGCCCACCATGGCCCCGTCTGTCTTCTATCTATCTATCTATCTATCTATCTATCTATCTATCTATCTATCTATCTATCTATCTATAAATCTATAAATCTATAAATCTATAAATGCTCTGTGCTTAGTGAGTACCTTAAAAACAAAAGAACCAATGAACGAAATCACACCAAATTTGGCAACAAAACGTCTCACTACACAAGGAGTGACCATCACTCAAAACATCATGATTTTGTCATTTGGGAGTTGTAGTTGCAGGGATTTATAGTTCACCTACAATCAAAGAGCATTCTGAACTCCATCAACGATGGAATTGAACCAAACTTGCCACACAGGCCTCCCATGACCAACAGAAAATACTGTGCTTTCTGGTGGTCTTTGGTGACGCTTCTGACACCCCTTTCACAACCGGCCCCCCCAGGGGTCCCAAACCCCAGGTTGAGAAATGCTGCCTTAAGGTCATCCAGTCCAACTCCCTTCAGCATGGCAAGAAAACATAAAGCCCTCCTGACAAAGGGCCATCCAGCCATTCACACACACACACACACATATGTATATGACTGATGCAGTATCAAAGATTTGAAAGGGACCCCTAAAGAAGGGCAATGATATGTTGCATGTTCCAGAGTAGGCAAGCCAGACACTCTCCACATCAACACTGACAAAGAAACAGCAAGAAATACTGTTTACCCACAAACATAAAGACATTACATATATTAGAAACCAGCACTTTCTCGTTACTTTATTTTCCAAATCACCAGTCTGGGCCACAGCAACGCGTGGCAGGGGACCGCTAGTAATAAATAATAATCCTCTATATAAATAAAAATGTTCGTTTGTGGGATTAACATAACTCAAAAACTACTGGGTGGATTGATACCAAATTTGGACACAAGACACCTATCAGGCCAATGAGTGGCCATCACTCCTAAAAATACTGGAAAACACAGCAGAAGAGACTTAAAAAGCCAAAAAATTAAAAATGCATTAAAATTATTAGTAATAATATAGATATAATAATAATTAGAAATCCAGCACTGCAAATCTAGGCTATTGTTCCTGAGCATGCGCAGAGGGTCATAGAAATATAATAATAACATAGAATAATAGACTACTATAATAATAAACATATAATAATATTAATAATATTATTAATAATAGAATAGAATCTATGTAAATAAAAATGAAATGTTCGTTTGTGGGATTAACATAACTCAAAAACCACTGGACAAATGACACCAAATTTGGACACAAGACACCTATCAGGCCAGTGAGTAAACATCACTCATAAAAACACTGAAAAACACAGAGGAAGGGACTTAAAAAAGCCAAAACCCCCCCAAAAATACATTCCAATGCATGCACAAAACCACACACACAAATATTTATGCAAACACATACATATATATACATATACACACACAAAACATATACACAGGCTGGGCCATAGCAACGTGTGGCAGAGGACAGCTAGTAAATAATAAAACTTTATTTGTATACCGCCATATCTCCCCAAGGCGGTGGTTCTCAGTCTGTGGTCCATGGACCACCAGTGGTCTGCAAGAACTAAAATATGGTCCATGGCCTCACCATTACTACACCGTTGTAATGAGATTAACTGGTCTTGTGAAACCCTCTTATAGTGCCGAGACTTATTGCACACTGTCCATTATTATTATTACTAGCTTGGGTACCCACTGTTGCCTGCGTGAAAGGGTCCGTAGACTGGAGATCTTCCTGGACTCATTGCTAAGCCTGGAGGCCCAGGTGTTGGCAGTGGCCAGGAGGGCCTTTGGGCCCTCCTGGCCACTGCTTCTGAAGGCAAGTCATACCTTCAGAAGCCATACTTGGCTGTGGTGCTCCACGCCTTAGTTACATTCCATTTAGACTACTGTGACAGGCTCTGCAAAGGGCTGCCCCTGAAAAGTGCCTGGAAACTCGCAACTAGTTCAGAGATCTGCAGCCAGATTATTGACAGGTGCTGGACTCAGGGAGCATACCCCCCCCCCCCCGTTACATCACCTACACTGGCTGCCAATATGTTTCAGAGCCCAATTCAAGGTGCTGGTTTTGATTTTCAAAACCCTAAACCAGTGACTCCCAACCTATGGTCCATGGACCACCAGTGGTCCACAAGAAGTAGAATATGGTCTGCGTCCTCACCGTTACTACACCATTGCAACCAGAATGATTAGTCTCACAAAACCCTCTTAGAGTGCTGAGGCTTATTAAATACGGATTTCTGTGGGTGAGCAGATGGCGACTACTGGATGTCGTATGTTCTGTATCTGAAACTAGAGCTGATGTGATACCCAATGCAGTTTTCTGAATCAGCATCCCAAATAACCAAACTGAATTTAAAGTTAATCAATAACTGATTCATAACCTTTTTGGTACTAATGTTGGAAAGTGATCCTTGGTCGAAGTGGTCCCTGATCAAAAAAAGATTGGGAACCACTGCCCCAAGGGACTCAGGACGGTTTCCAATACTCAAGGCAAAACATTCTATTGCCAGAAAGTAAAACCATACAGACAAAAAAAATCTTAGAACACAAAATCCTACTAAATCATACATAATTTTTTTAAAAATTCCATTATAGCTCCATCACATGGGTTCAGGTTCAAAATACCAATGGCCAGGATTACAAAACATGGTAACTGTAAAAGGCTTGGCAAGAAATAGTGCAACACTGCCTACACTTTGTCCATTATTATTATTGCTATTACTATTGCTATTATTACTGCTAGCTTGGGTACGCACCATTGCCCGAGTAAAAAGGTCCGCAGTCTGGAGGACCTACTGGACTCGTGGCTAAGTCTGGAGGCCCAGGTGTTGGCAGTGGCCAGGAGGGCCTTTGCACAAACTTGTGCTCCAGCTGCACCCGTACCTTGAGAAGCCAGACTTGGCCATGGTGGTCCATGCCTTAGTTACATCCCATTTAGACTATTGTAGTGTGCTCTCCGTGGGGCTGCCCTTGAAAAGTGTCTGGAAACTCCAACTAGGAGCCTTTCCACACTTCCCCTTTATCCCAGGATCCGATTCCTGATTATCTGTTTATCCCAGGTTATCTGGTAGTGGGGACTCATATAGAATCATAGAATCATAGAATCAAAGAGTTGGAAGAGACCTCATGGGCCATCCAGTCCAACCCCCTGCCAAGAAGCAGGAATATTGCATTCAAATCACCCCTGACAGATGGCCATCCAGCCTCTGTTTAAAAGCTTCCAAAGAAGGAGCCGCCACCACACTCCGGGGCAGAGAGTTCCACTGCTGAACGGCTCTCACAGTCAGGAAGTTCTTCCTCATGTTCAGATGGAATCTCCTCTCTTGTAGTTTGAAGCCATTGTTCCGCGTCCTAGTCTCCAGGAAGCAGAAAACAAGCTTGCTCCCTCCTCCCTGTGGCTTCCTCTCACATATTTATACATGGCTATCATATCTCCCCTCAGCCTTCTCTTCTTCAGGCTAAACATGCCCAGCTCCTTAAGCCGCTCCTCATAGGGCTTGTTCTCCAGACCCTTGATCATTTTAGTCGCCTCCTCTGGACACATTCCAGCTTGTCAATATCTCTCTTGAATTGTGGTGCCCAGAATTGGACACAATATTCCAGATGTGGTCTGACCAAAGCAGAATAGAGGGGTAGCATTACTTCCTTAGATCTAGACACTATGCTCCTATTGATGCAGGCCAAAATCCCATTGGCTTTTTTTGCCGCCACATCACATTGTTGGCTCATGTTTAACTTGTTGTCCACGAGGACTCCAAGATCTTTTTCACACGTACTGCTCTCTCCAGTTTAAAGCAGATATTCTGGGATCAGATCCTGGGATATAGGGCAGTGTGGAAGGGCCCTAGTTCAGAGATCTGCAGCCAGGTTATTGACAGGTGCTGGACCAAGGACGCGTACCACAACCCCCATCCCCCTGTTACAGCACCTACACTGGCTGCCAGTATGTTTCTAGGCCTGATTAAGGTGCTGGTTTTCACCTTTAAAGCCCTAAATGGTTCAGGCTCAACTTACCTATGTGACCACTTCAGCTCTTACCAACCTGATCGATCACAAATATGGTTGGCAGCAATGAGCGAGAGAGACCCAAAGTGGTTCGCAACATAATACAAATCAAAACACATTTAATATAAAATACAAGACAAAAATCACACAGATATAAGATGAAATAAATATTAAGCTTTAAAAACATTTCAAACCAATTACAATTATTGTGGAGTCCCATCAATTAAATACATTTCATTAAGCTGAATGCAAATCCTCCTTGCTGTCATTAGCAATTGAATTCATTTGTCAAAAGTTTGCTTGAATAGGTAGGTCTTCAACTGATTCTTGAAAGGTAACAGAGAAGGGTCAGGTTTAATCTCAATCGGAAAGAAGTTCCAAAGGGCCAGGATGGCTACCTAGAAGACTATCTCTCTCATTGCCGCCAACCGTATTTGTGACAGCGGCGGCAATGAGAGAAGGGTCTCTCCAAAAACTCTTAATGATCGGGGAGGTTGGTAAGAGGCGATGCGGGCAGATAAGTAAGTTGGGCCTGAACTGTTTAGGGTTTTAAAGGTCAAAACCAGCACCTTGATTTGGGCTCAGAAACATATTGACAGCCAGTGTAGGTGCTGAATGGGGGTGGTATGCTTCTTAGGTCCAGCACTTGTCAATAACCTGTGTTTTCAGGGGGAGTGTGGCCCCCATCTAGCACAGGTTTCCACCCTATACCCTGATCTGCCTGACCAGGAGGACCTCTATCTTGTTTGGATCTATCATCCTCATCCAGTCCACCACAGCTGACAGGCACCGGTTCAGGGTCTGGTCTACAACTCACATAATGCCAGGTGAACCCCCCAGAAAATGCATGTAAAAATGTAAATGCATGTGTGTTTTCATTTATGTTAGTCCTCCCTGGAAAGTCAGCTGTCAAGCAGAAGGGTGGACTGGACATATTTTTGAAAGATACATCTGGTTTATTAGTCATTATTCGTTCTTTATTGTATTTAGGTGTGGTCACTCGAGAAATAGAAGCAGAGCTTGAAAAATTATTTTTCAAAAGCAATATGTTACTTTTTATTTTAAGATCTGCTAACTATATTACTTTTTATAAGGTAGTTACTTTTTTGTTTGTAATGTTTCCATTTAAACAGGACAATAATCAAACTAATTCTTCAAACTAAGTATACTAGTTTCTATTGTCATCAAGATGTGTAAATAACCGTGATCCTAAATGTTGCTATTTATCTCCAACATCTAATGTTTTATCTGCCATATTTGGACTTAGCAACATTTTATCACCTCCGCCAAATAACATTTGTTAAAATGAATGATGCTATTGTAATGCATTGATTATGAGCTCTGATTTGTGAATGTGAAATTCTAGGACTTCTTGGACACATAACGTATATTCAGGTCTTGCTGTTGGGAAGATTTGTTCAGAAAATGGTTTGCCTTTCCCTTCCTCTGAGGCTGAGAATGTGATTTGTCCAAAGTCACCCATTAGGTTGTAATTTTGCAAAGTCTTCTCTACAACAGAGTGCTGGTGCCTCACCAAACTACAACCCAAATAACTCCATCCATAGTATTGATCCATAAACTGGTGTCAAACTGCATTAATTCTATAGCACAGATGTTTGCCAAGTTTGTAGCCATCTGTTGGTGGTGAATTATACAGTTGAAGTATTTCTTCTTTTAAACTAAAATTACTCATCTGTTTCATAAGAGTGACTTTGCATTTTTGTACTGAGGGAAGATAACAGCATCTTTGTTTTCAGTATCTACTCACCTTTTTTATATAACCCATAAGCTCCTGCGTAGTTATAATGTATGTGTTGCTGCTCCCTTCTTCATGCCCTGAAAAAAAATTCATATGGATATTAACTCAATAGGTGTCTTTGAAAATAACTGTAAAACAAAGGGGTTATTCCCCACCCCCTGCATGCTTTTACTACATTAATATGTTGCTTGCTCAGCGTTTATCTGAATTAATGAAGTAGAACAGAATTTCTCAAACTGCGCCTCCTCCCCTCAAATATTTTGAACTTCGGCTCCAACAATTCCTAACAGCTGGTAAAGTGGCTGGGATTTCTGGGAGCTGAAGTCCAAGGGCCCTTTCACACAGCCATATAACCCGGAATATCAAGGCAGATAATACACAACGTCTGCTTTGAACTGGGTTATCAGAGTCCACACTGCCATATAATCCATTTCAGTATGGATTTTATACAGCTTTGTGGAAGGGGCCAAAAACACATGGAGGAGTACAGTTTGAGAAACACTGAACTATGGATCTTTTCCAACCCATGTGTTGATTGTTGACCCAGGAGATATCTCCTTGGAAAAAATCTACTGGAGATCAAATACAAGTGGTTGATAAGGCCTCAAACCAACAGATGATAGGGCCAGAGCCACCTTCAAATATACCTCCTTAATTAGATAAGCAACCTTCCCATATATTCATACACATCAATTCATGCCTTCCAGTCATTCAGTTTTATTCACTCTCTTTCCTCCCTTTTCCACCCCTGTTACGTTCCCTTTCAGCTACATCCTACAGATTGCATAGCTTAGGGAGAATTAAAGCTCCCCTTCACAGCTACCAGTACCATTAGTATAAAAGGGAGTGTTTTCCCCTGTTTTTGCTGCATGAAAAATATTAACAAAATATTCTTAAGAATAAGATTTTATAGTGGTTTGGGTAGTATTTTCCCACCATCCTTCATTTTTTTGGGAATGCCACTGTCCGTTAAGGTCTTGAACCTATTCTATTTTGGTTTGGTAAGCTGCAATTATATTGTAAACAAGAAAACATGAGGCTATAATAGACTGAAGCAAATTTTGGAACATAATAATACATTACAGAACATAACCTGCCACTTTACATGTCATGACTAGAGTGCTTGAAATCCACATTAAGGGCATATTACATTAAGAAGCAACTCCCAACCTACACAAATTACTGTCTCTATCGTTTCTTAATATTATAATTCTTGTAACTTTCTATATATTCACTGACTTTTCTTTTTAGCTTGACATTAATAAAGAAGAATTTCTAATGGGTCAGTCAACAGTCTTCTTCATGTCTAAACTCTTCTACCCAGAATGCCATTTATACTCAAAATTCCTGAAAATAGACCAGAAACACAATTGTTAAAATAAATAGATGAAATCCCATAATGCCACTAAGACAGAATATATACACCTCCTGATAAAAAACCTGATCAACTCCTTGCTTGAGTAGTCAGATTTACTTTACCAATCAAAAGATTATAGAAACAATGTCCTATTTTTGAATACACTGGAGGGAAAAAAATCATGTGTTATTACTTAGCTATTCTATGTGTTTGTTTTTATAGACCATATCTTGTTTGTTTAAGAATCCCGATAAGTTTTTAATAGTTCGGTTTGAATGTCAAGACTGAAAAAGAAATCCTTTGTATTTATTATTGGAGTGTAAGTCAACAAGTACAGGAATTTTAAATAGTTCTTTCTGAAGAATAATGATGAACATTTAAAATAAGATGAATGTTTTAATATCACCCACATTGAATACCTTAAAGTGTGTTGGGCATTCTGTACAGTAAAGCTTTCTCAGATAGTATTTGAATACTTTATTCTGAATTTAGTGATTAGTGATTTTTCTTCCCTTTTTAGAGATTAAAGATAGTTAAGAAAATGGGTCAACTGAAGATATAACACTTGTTGGGACTATTGATTCTAGAAATCAGAGTTTTAATCCCTGCTTATCTATGGAAACCCACAAGGTGACATTAGGCAAGTCACTCAGGGGCCTTCCACACAGCCCTATATCCCAGAATATCAAGGCAGAAAATCCCGCATTATCTGAGTGTGGACTCAGATAACCCAGTTCAAAGCAGATACTGTGGGATTTTCTTCCTTGATATTCAGGGTTATAGGGCTATGTGGACGGGCCCTCAGGCTCAGAGGGAGACAGTGGCAAACCTTTGCTGAACGTTATATGCATATTTTTTTCACATGTACATGCATTAATGTATTTTGTTCCTTTCAGGGTGTTTTTTTTTTTTTTGCATTGTTTAGTGTGATTGCATTTATATTTAATATTACGTTTTTTTTGTTTTTCGCAGAATGTTCCTCATAACTGTATGCCAAGTAATGAAAGCAGTTTACTTGAACAAAGGGTAGCTCTTCATGATAAACCTATGGTGACCTCCCACAGACCACAGCAAGAAGGTATGTAGATAAAAGTTAATGTTTTGATAAAGTAAATATTTAGCAAATGTCTGTTGATGTTTTTTGCAAGTCACAGCAAATATATTCACCACGGGAAGTGTGACCTTCTTCCTAACTTTCAAAACACACGACTTTCTTCCCAAACTCCATATGTATGTATGATCCAAGCATTAAAGTGATATTGCGAAGTGGGCTGGACATTGTTTCACATTTGCATGGCCAAGGTATGAAAAAACCTTGGACATGCTTGGCCATATTAGCAGCTATGATTTTTTGCATGTAACAAGCAAAAATAGACAAAAACAGTGACCCCCGGATGTTTTAGTGTACAACTCTCAGAAATCCTAAAAACTGATAAACTGGCTGGGATTTCTGGGAGTTTTAGGCAAAAACACCTAGGGACCCACAGGTTGAAAACCACTGGTATAGGGTTTTTAGTTCAGGGAGGGGCCTTAGTCAGATAGGTCCTAGGCCTCATTACAGTCCCAGAACTCTGTAGGAGGCAACCACAGGATTTAAAGTGGGATTCACACTCTATATCTACTTTTTAAAACCATCAGCTTTAGCAAAATTACTTTGAGTCTACTAGTCATCTGTAATGTCAAGCAGACTAACTCCCAGGGAGAAGAAGACCGGGAGAAGAAAACCAGGAAAAGGAATTGTAATGATCTTATACATGTTTTTACATAGAAGTCTTTCTGTTACATAGTTCGTAGAAATAATTTGGGGGTAATAAATATATTGTAAAATAAATTATTCTGTAACACTTAAAAAAATTTAAAAAAAGGTTTGGAATCAAACAAGATAACCCCAAGTCTC